CCCCCTCCCCCTCCTCTCTCTCTCTCTCTCTCTCTCTCCTTTCTCTTCTTCTGCAACTGAGATGCAATCATCCTCCGTTTTACTGAACGAGATTAGAATGCCGCATAACTCTCTATTTCTCTCCTTCTTCTTTCTCTGTTTCTCTTCTTCATTTTACAAGTTTTACTCATACGCAGCATATACCTGCGAGATGATAGCACGGAATTGCTCTCAAGGGTCTCTCGATTTGCTTGCTCTAGCTATTTGTTCATAACAGAGGATTAGCTAGGAATTTCTCACTTCTCGTTAACTTTGTGTACACAAGAAGAAATCGCATAAACTTGTCTTATTTATTCCATACTATGTTTATCTTACATAATTAATTGTTATAAGATCCGCTTCAATATCGCCAGACTAAAGAGTCATTCAAGACACGTATTCGTTCAACACATTTTGTCAGATTTATTTATTAAATTTTATCTTATTAGAAAAAAAAAAAGAAAAAAACTCCGTTACATCTTAATCATCGTTCTCTATGAAATCGCAACGCTCTAGAATTCTCTCTTCGATAGAATCGTTTAATTTTCGATGACAGTTATCTAATTTAAATCTTCTAAACTCGCACTTTAATTCAGCCGGATTGCTTCCTCGAAAAAAGCGCTCTGTTATTTTTTAACGCCGACTAATCTGAAGACGGACTGTCGATCCGCCATAATAGCAATAACGATATCTTATCCATGGTCTCTCATCGCGTGCCGCCACGGGTGGATCCATGGTGGTTCACCTGCAATTCCGTATCCACGCTGTCGTTTCGCAGGTATATACGGTGCCGCGAAAGAATACGACGGAATCCGCGAGAAGACCGGCTGGCAGCATTCTGATGTCGCGCGCTCTTTCTCTCTCTTCTTCCTCCCCCTTCCTTTCTCGCTCCCCACCCACCCTCCGATCCTTTCTCTCTCTCTCTCTCTCTCTCTTTCCTTCTGAAGAACCTCACTTTTAAGTTAATAACGCAATTACTGCCTCCTGCCGCAAGACGCGCGCGCCTCTCTTTGCCGCCTGCCTTTACCTCCTCTCCTGTATCCCTCTTCTCGTTTTCCTCTCTTCCTCCCCCCCCCTTCCCCACCTTAGGTTTCCTCATCCTCACATTTTCTCGGCATTAATACAGACGCCGGCACTTTTAGTGCAATAACCACCAAATAATTTTGTCGTATGCCTTATGATTGTTATGAGAGTAGAGTCTCTCTTTTCTTGTTTTGTTTCCTTTTTTTATTCCTTTCTCTATAATTTCCCATTTTTTTTTTTATAAAAGATTTCAGAGACAATCTGTGCAAGTGATTCTAGCTACTAGTTTCACTAATAAAAAACACATTGACTTGATCAAATTCTTCTATAAAATTTATTACTTATTAAAAAAAAAAGATTACCAAACTTGACAAAAAACAGTTTTTTTTTACAGTCGAACATTTTTGTAAAACAAAATAGTTTTGTGAAAAAATTCAGATCTGAATTTGAAATATGAAAGCTTTATAGATATCTTTCTTTTATTTTTTGATTTCATAACATAGACTTTCTTAGACGAGCCAAAAAAGAAATGATCAAAAATTGTCAATAAATCTGCGTGTTGATATATGTTAATTAATCTCAAAAAAAAAGTCGTAGAATAATAGCTTTTATTCCAATTTCTTCGCTTTACGAGCCAAGTACGAATCAGTAACCGTTAACAATGGGTATCGAATGTTGCTTAAATCAAACTGAACGAAGACGTTAAAATCGCGCGCGTGAAACGGCAGCGTGTCGGGCCATAAATTTTCGCGCAGCGTATTTACGCCGTGAACGAATAATCGCAAAAGCGCAATGTTCGTCGGACACACACGCGTTATAAACGATGACTGTAGCCAGATTTATTGCAGCGCCATGTTGTCACAACCCTTCTCCGACAGCTTTCTCCATACTTCCTTTTTACCTTCTGCTTCTTATATTTCTAAACATAACGTGCTACATAACTTGAAAATTTAGAGATCCTTCAGTGGCAATACTTTCCAAAAAATAAATATTTCTAAATCATGCTATTTTTTATAAAATAATTTATAAATAGTTTTTTATCAAATAATATTGAAGCGTGAATTTTATAAGGAATGCAACAATTATAGTATAGCGGTTGACTTTTAAAAAATTCAGTTTTTCCATCTGGATATCGTCGTAACTTTCTCAAATAAAACGAAACAATATATTTTTCTTTTCTCCAAATATGTATCCATCAATTCTAAATTTAAATAATAATAAAGTGTGATATTCTATCTTGAAAGAATGATCTAAAATACTTTTGAAAAAAATTTTGAAAAAAAAAAGAGAAAATGTAATAAATGCCTTCTAGACAACTGTGGCAAATGATCATAAAGTTAAACTTTAGCGAGTTGGGGGATTCTAACATCCTCTCGCAAAAGTTTGCGAGAGGATGTTAGAATCTTGCAGAAGTTAGAATCACCGTAAGGAGATTCTAAACGAAGAAGAGATTATCTTGCACTGAAGTGAAAAGCACGTGCCTTAAACGCCGCATAAGGAAGCAGTGCCTCGCTATAGAGAGCGCATAATGCAGATCGTCGCACAGATTGCTCTCATAGGCCAATTAATTAAAAGGCTCCTTCTATGGCGTAATAAGTCGCGAAGCGGTTGAACTCACAGGGAAATTATCCTTAGAATGCTAACGAGAATTATTAGAAGTTTTTCTCGCTTGTTTATGAATTTCAAATTTCTTTAACGTTTATATTGATGCGTGAAAATGCATCATCAAATATTGATTCTTACGAATTTATATATGTTGGAAAATTGTAAGAAGCCTGCGCAGGGCTCGATAAGATGTCGAATCGAAATTCCAAATGTAAATTGGAAAGAAAGTAAAACAAGATGCAAATGCGCGAGACAGAGAAGTTACATTACCATTAAAGTTTTATTCTCAATCACAAATAACAGGGTCACAGACAGATTTCTGCGTAGTACAACGCTGTGTGGGGAGTGTCCGCCTCTTTATCCATTTCAGTAACCAAGACAATGCGAATAACGTATATTTGTTA